CAGTCAACCCGTACGAGCCTCCAATTCTATTTTCCCAGCGGTTAAAGAAACATAAAATGGAGTGGCAATACAAGAAATTTTTAGAAGTCTTCAAGAAGCTCCCCACTCGTCGATGCACTATTCCAGATGCCCAGCTATGCAAACTTTCTGATGGACATATTATCAAATAAAAGCAAGCTAGAGGATCATGAGACAGTAATGCTCATTGAGGAATGCAGCGCCAGAATTCAGAATAAACTCCCACGGAGTTTCACCGTCTCTTGCACAATTGGTGATTTTTATTTTAATAAAGCATTGTGTGATCTTGGTGCGAGTATTAACTTGATGCCACTCTCTATAATCAGGAAACTAGGATTGAGAAAACCTAAGGCAACTACAGTAACTCTACAGTTGGCCGATCGATCACTTACACATCCATGAGAGATTATCGAAAATGTATTGGTCAAAGTGGATAAACTCATATTCTCAACGGACTTCTTGATTTTGGACATGGAAGAAGACAAGGACATGCCTATCATATTAGGACAACCATTTTTGGCTACTGTAAGAGCCCTCATAGATGTGCAGCAAGGATAATTAATTTTAAGACTGGGAGAGAAGCGTGTTTCTTTTAATGTTTTCATTGCAATGAAATATCCCACCGAGCCTGAAAGATGTTTTCATATTGAAGTGGTTAACATAGGAATTTCCCATAATTTTGAGTTAAAGAAATAGTCAGATGTTCATGAGGCCTATGTAGTGCCCTCTCCAACCACTCTTACCGATTCAAAGGAGATTAAGGCATTCAATGTAGAATTTCATATGGATGAGGAAAGAAAGTTGCAGCACTTGGAGAATGATAAGGATGAAATTCGAAGGATAACTATAGTGCAAAACAATACCATATTAAGCAAACTACATAGGATATCCCAAGCCATATATAAAGTGCCATGAAACGTTTGTGCCAAAAGTTGAGTGAAAAAAAAAAGGAAAGGAAGTGGAAAATTGGCATGTTTTGTCTATTTCTTTTATGAATTTGTGTGCTTGTGTGGGCTTGATAGCATTGTCGGCTATGATGTGACTATTGGAATAATATAATTAGAAACTGTGGATATGGTGCAGAAGTTGATCAACCTATAAAGTGATACCTGACAATTCTTTGCCCACGCTACTCATGCTCTACATGTTAGGCTAGTGATTAGGTTTTTGAACAAAGTAGGAGAAACCAGAAAACCTCTATTGTATTGACCCATAAGCCAATTTTGACATAATTTGGAGATGGTTGAATAATTATAGGGGAACTTTGAGATGAGTGGGTGCTTCGTGCATGAATTTTTATTATGTGGATTGCTTAGACCAGTGAGATGAATATTAGGTGAAAGCCATAAGTTGGGGATGGTTTTGGAAGTTAAATTTCTAGAAAAATAAAGGAAAAAAAAAAAAAAAAAAAAAAAATTAACCTGTGTAAAAATAACACTTCTCTCAAAGTCTTTATAACTCGAGAAGTAAGCCTGCAAGGGTTTAAAACCTAGTGCCCTAAAACCAACTGGTTTGCGAGTCATCGACCAAAGCTCGCCAAAGGGGTCATATAAAAAGCAAGAAGGAGAGAAGTTAATAAAAAGTCATCTGATCAAGTCTTTATAACTCGAGTGAATAAGCCTGAAAAAGTATAAAATCTGGTGCCCCAAAGCCAACTGATTTGGGAATCATCAGCCTAAAGCTCGTTACAGTGGTTATATAGAAAGCAAATGAGAAGATGACA